TCTCGAGTTTAGCCTCGTGTGATATTATTTGGTCTATCGTTAGGACCAAGCCGTAAAGGAGTCTCATGAAAACGCACGTGCGTCGGCATCGATCAAGCGTAGAGCCTTCTTTTTCTTTAAGAGATGACCTTCGATCGACCTTATTGTTCGTACTTACGCCTATTGTCGTCGTTATAAATTCTGCAGCAAACAATATGTTGGAAAAAAAATAGAAGGATAAATGAATAATTGTTATTTTCATAAAAAATAACAATATTGAAAAAATATAGTAAAGAGATTTATTGAAAAGAAGACAGTATGAATATATATATTGAAAAAGATCAAGATCATTTTATCGGTGATAAAAATTTGTTAGAAAAAAATTTCATAAATAAATAAAAAACAAATGAAATTAAAATTATTATTAGTTCTTTAGAATTTAATAAAGAAGAATATATATTAAGTCATAATTATATTCGTTAAGAGATTTTATGAAAAAAAAAAAGAAAAAAAAAATTGTATTGTTCAATATATTTGCAGTTCTATAATAACGCGCATATTAGGATAAAAAATATTCAATTAAACGTTGTATCATATGATCGCACACATTCATAATAAAACAATTAATGATCAACGAACAATACAATTACATTTACAGATAGTTACATAGAGAAATGATTACAAGAGTTGGGTTACGTTAATGGATAAAATTCTTTGATAACTCGCTCGGGAAAGAAGAAGAAGAATCGGATCCACTTAACATTTCGTTGGAGGCGACCTCGTGTGTCTCTGAGTCTTATTAGGGAGCCCGCTGTAAAGTCCACGAAGATACGAGCAGCCTTCTTATTTGCTTCACGTGAGACACGCACGCTCATTTGCCCTTTTTCATTCTTTTATTTATAGCGCCCATTTTGTGGCCGAGCGAAGCAGATGTTAGCGAGTCGTCGTCGTCGTCGTCGTCGTTGTCACCATCTTCGTCTTCGTCGTCGTCGTCGTCGTCGTGGTCGTCGTCGTCGTCGTCGTCGTCGTCGTCGTGGTCGTCGTCGTCGTCTTCGTTGTCACCGTCTTCGTCATCATCGTTGTCTGTTGATACGTCAAAAGCCGAAGAATCGCGACGATGTCTGACGCATTCGGGTTATCGTTTCTATTATAATATATACATATTATTTTCGTTCCGTTCAGGGAGACCTTGTGAAAACTCATTAAATCTCTCTATAAACGTAATTCTTTTTTGTCGTATGGTGTATAGAAAAAAAAAAAAAAAAAGAAAAGAAAAGAGAAAAAAGGAAAAGAAAAAGAAGATTATGTAATGTAAAATCTATAATATAATTTGTGACAATATAGATATACTGTGCTAAGTATAATTCATGTTTAAATATTCAACGTTTGTTTCTTTGAATATGAATTAACTATTAAAATTTTATGACGTAAAAAATAAAATAAAATTTACAAATATAGATATACGCATATGTATATGACTTCAAAGTTATAGAGGGGGTTAAGGTGTTTTCCTCTCTCACTCTCTCTCTCTCTCTCTCTCTCTCTCTCTCTCTCTCTCTCTCTCTCTCTCTCTCTCTCTCTCTCTTTCTCTTTCTCTCTTTTTCTCTCTTTTTCTCTTTTTCTACTCTCACGCTTACTCATTCTTACTCATCAATCATCCTCTTAGTAATGGGAAGAAACTTAATGATTGTTTTAAATAATACGGAATATAACTTCTAAAAAAAATTATAAATATTTTATGACATTAGAAGATAATTACGTATAATTTATATATTTAGTAAACATTAATCTTTGCATATGAATTAATAATTAATTTTATTGCAAAAAAATGAAATTTAATTTAAAAAAAAAAATATATATATATATATATAAAATATGAGTATATATGAGTATATAACTTCAAAGTAGAAAGTTAAGAATAGTTATTTATTTTAAATTATTTAAAACAATAAAAGAATTGGAGAAAGAGAAAATAAGTAAAAAAAAAAGATCTAAGAAATAAATTTAATTTTCAAGAAATAGAAAGAACATAATTTGTTTATTAACAAATGATAATCTTATCTAACTAAATAGGAAACTAACTAAGCGAAAACGTGTTTTGTGTATCGTGTGTGACCAACTTTATCGTCTCGTAACCAACTATTCCTTTTTCCTAGATTGAACGAGAAGAGAGACTTAGAGAAAGATAAAAAAAGATAGATAGATTCGAAAGCGAATGAAAGTTAAATTATCACGATATCCGTATGTGTGAATTTATTTCTTCCTTTGTGTGTGTGTGTCTCTTTGAGTGCGCTCTGTGTGTATGTATGTATTTGTATGTTGTATGTCTTTGCATGAGGGAGAGAGAAAGAGAGAGAGAGAAAGAGAGAGAGAGAGAGAGAGAGAGAAAGAGAGAGAGAGAGAGAGAGAGAAAGAAAGAGAAGGGGAGAGAGTCTTTGGTGTTCGCGTTCGGCTTATCCCAGTTTATTAGGGGGAACAATATGGAATGCACGCCCGTGGGATTGCGATTTATATCCCCGGCACTTGCATTACCTCACGGTATCGCAGCGCACCAGAGATTGCCGTAAAGCATCTCGGACAGTGCAATGCTAGAGACCCTGCCTGAGGAGAGTTCATTGCGTCTCTCATATTATCCATCTTTTCTTCATCGTCTTATGTTAGACATTTTAATATATTCATTTTAAATGTATATATATATATATATATATATATATATATATATATACATATATATATATATACATATATATATATATATATATACATATATATATATATACATATATATATATATTAGTTAAATCTATATTAAACACTCAGTTACGAGTAAAAGATATTCCTTATCGGATCTTTTTGAATTGAATTTAATTCTTTATAATTATAATTTATAATATAACGTTGACGACGTCACACATACACACATGCATATATGTATTTTTAAAGATCTTGCTTCACTTTTTTTTTTAATAATACATAACTTTTACATATAATTATTTCTTTTTTTCTTGTTCTTCTTTTTATTTTCGTCATGAAAAAATTAGATTATACAGGGTCAAAGTCGGTCCTTCTATCTTTACTCGATTGTATGCCGGTTTCTTCGAATAAAAAGTTAACAAAAACAAAAGAAGAAATAAAAATTATTAGTTATTTAAGAAAAAAGAAAACAAAAAAAAACAAAAAACAAAAAACAAAAAAGGAGAAACGTTGAAATTATTATGTTCAATGGTCTTGTGCGATTTCTCTGTGAGAAAAAAAAAAAAAGAAAAATCTATCGGGTGAGCTAGCGAGTCGTCTAAAAAGTGAAGAAATCGAAGGATAATCGAGAAGATTTGCGTAACCCGATCGCGTCCTTCGCTTATCCGTGCCCTTCGAGTGGCCTTGAAGAGGATGGAGAGGCAAAGGAGAGTGTTGTGGCGCGAAAAACCGAGTCGGATCTTCGAAAGTCTCGATCCGAGGAGTTGAGAAGAGTAATCTCCTCCTTTTCCTCTTTCTCCTCCTCTTCTTCCTTCATCTTTTTCATTCTACTCTTCGGAGCTCTTCGTATTCAGTGACTCTATACTGTAGCTGGTATACGAGTACACTTCCTCGTATACCATAGCGTATCTTTCGCGGCAACGCATGCCCGTCTCGACGCTCGCGACCGTTTTATTTCGTTCGATTCAAAACGAGTTCCAATCGACGTCTCATTCCGCGTGTTCACGCCCGCTATACGCTCGATAGAAGCTACATCATTTCCCTCTGCTCCCTCTGCTCTAGTCCGTTCTATATGTAAGTTGTATGCGCGCGCGCACGCGCGCGCGAGCGAGCGGGCGAGCGAGCGAGCGAGCGAACGAGCAAACGAGCGAGCGACCACCTCCATTGCCTTCTTCGTCATCAACACTATTACTGTTACAAGCATTGGGTTGCGTCGTAATATGTTTTTTCTTTCTGTCTCTCTCTCTCTCTCTCTCTCTCTCTCTCTTTCCCTTTTTTCTTTTTCTTTTTTATTTTATTCGACCTATCCTAGATCGTTTCGATCGTTGATCTCTTTGTAAGAGAGAACTTTTAGGAAATTGATCGACGTATCCTTTCTTCCGCCGTTGGATCATATATTTGTTTTCTTTTCAATTACTTTTTTTTTCTTTATTATTTTGATCGTCGATTTTGATTAGGAGAATTTTGAGAAATTCGTAGAAGGGGAAATACGTTTATCGAAAAATCGATCACGTGTCTTTTCTTTCAAAATCCAGACGATGATTATTATCTTATTTTTATTCTTATTTCGTTTCGTCCGTCGATCTTTGAAAGAAGATCTGCGAATTTCTAAAGAGAACCTTTCGAAAATTGATCACGCGTCATTTTTTCCGGTTCGATTCTCCTTTTATTTCGCTCTTTCGTTTTTTCTTCTCCCGTTTCTTATTTCGTTTACGTTTTTTTTTGTTTTTTTTTTTGTTTTTTCCTCCATTAGACAAGCGACTCGAGAACTTGTCCTTCTACGGATCGCATCACCTATCCTAGAACCGTCTAGAATCGTAAGATCGACTTCTTTCGAGGGTCGGCTCCGATTCGTTGGAGCCGACGACAACCCCTTTACAATAGGTAAGGACACGATCGAAATATCAAATTTCGAGGTCGTTCTTTAAGAAAGAGGAGGATCAGGTTTACGTACAACTAAAGGATGAAAAAGAATCTATCGATTCTTCGATAAATTCGTCTCAATGATTTAAAATATACGAACAGAAGATTCACGTCGGTCTTTCGTATCATTCGTTGCACGAGAAAATCGTTGATCATGTTCAATAAAATCAAGGACCAATAAACGAAATTCTTTAAAAACAAATATGTTTATACTTATGAAAATAAGATCGCAAAATAAATAATCGAGCGGATAATTTGGAAATATGCAGAGAGAGAGAGAGAGAGACAGAGAGAGAGAGAGAGGGAGAGAGAGAGAGAGAGAGAGAGAAAGAAAGAGAGAGAAAGAGAGAGCCGAAAGAAATACGCGAAACGATACGAAGAAGTGGTATTCAAACGTTAGGGGCTATCGATCTTTAGTGGGGTACAAAGAGTGCCATCTGTCGGTGGTTTTAACTGTGTGATCTTTCAACCAATGAACGAACGAGAGAGTCCCCCACTCGGTATTTAGTTTGCCCCCACCAGGCGAGGCGGCCTGTCGCGTCGCCGTGCGTGCTCTTGTCCTCTTCGTCCTCGTCCTCGTCCGCATCTTCTTCGTCCTCGTCTTCTTCTTCGTGTCCTCGTCGTCGTAGGGTCTGCCAGGGTAACGACGGTAGATGTAAACACAGAAAGAGAAAGAGAGAGAGAGAAAGAGAGGACAAGAAGATAAGAAAGAGAGTTGGGGGTCTCTCTCCGAGACGAGCGTCTCGTGATTCGTCGGGCGAAGTAAAAGGGCGGGCGGAGGGGGTGGGGTTGGACGGAGGAAGGCAGAGAGAGAGAAAAAGAGAGAAAGAGAGAGAGAGTGAGAGAGAGAGAGAAAGAAAGAGATAGAAAGAGAAAGAGAGATAAAGAGAGAGAGATTACAAGAGGCGCCGGGCAAGCATCCCAGAACGGCCGTGTGCTCCGTTCGTCTCTGAAACACAGAGAGGAGAGAGTCGGGGCTCGATCGATCGATCGGCTCGATCGAGCGTCGAACAATTAACGGCCATCAAATGCCCATCTCGGGTACGCGTGGCGCGTAAATCGCGGCGCGTAAATCGTGGCACGCTCTTGCGACTGAACGGACACGCGCCTATCCTCCTCCTCCTCCTCCTCCTCTTCCTCCTCCTCTTCCTTTTCCTCCTCCTCCTCCTCCCCTTCTCCTCTTCCTTTTCTTCCTCTTCCCCTTCTTTTTTACTTCATCTTATTTTTCTTCGCTTCGTCTTCGTCTTCATCTTCGTCTTCGTCTTCGTCTTCATCTTCGTCTTCGCCTTCGCCTTCATCTTCGTCTTCGTCTTCACTTCCTCTTTATTTCTTGTTCTCCAAAAAGTCACTCCCCTCTCCCCACCACTTTCTTTCATCAACTCCCTCTTTTCTCCTCTCTTCTTCTTCTCTTTTTTCTTTTTCTTTTTCTTCTTCTTTTTCTTCTTCTTCTTCTTCTTTTTTTTCTTCCGTTTCCTTTACCTCCTTCCGCCTTCCAAAGTTTTTGGAAAACGCGCGAGTAAACTTTTCGTGGCCAGTGCCTTCGAGGACCTTCGACGGGCCGAAATTTTTACTTCGGTCTTTACTCCCGTACGACGGCCCGTTGATGTCCGTCGATCGTTCTCCCAACCGAACGCGATACTTCGTGATTTTACAGATCGATATATTCGATCGATATAACGAACGATCCGTGGATCGTCCTCGGCGTGTCAGTGCCTTATCGTCGTCGTTGTCCTCGTCGTCTGACTTCTTGGGAATAAATCGGGACTCGTAATCAAAGAGGACGAAGAGTAAGCTCGTTCTTCCGAGGTCGCCTTTCCTTCTTCTTCTTCTTCTTCTTCTACTTCTTCTTCTTCATTATCGTCATCTTCTTCTACCTCTACTTCTTCTTCTTCTTCTTCTTCTTCTTCTTCTCCTTCTTCTTCTTCTTCTTCTTCTTCTTCGCTAAATCGTCTCCTTCGATCGTCTCCTTTCGCTGTAAGTACCTTTTTCTCATTTCCTCCGCTTTGTTTCTTCATCTTTTTCGTTCTTTTTCTTTATTCTTTTTTTCTTTTTTTTTTTTTCTTTACAAAATCTCCAACGTTTTATCGATAAATCAAAAGAAAAGAAAAACAAAACAAAGAAAAAAAAGAAAGAAAGAAAACAGAAAAAGAGGAGCTATTAGGTATAACGATCAATTTACAAGCGCGTTTTAGCGTTTCGTTCGCTCGTTTTGTCGATAATCGATATTCGAAAGAAGGAAGCGACCGGCTTTCGACTCGCGTTATGTAATACATCGATCGAAACCGCGCGAGTTCCGTGAGAGTAATTGTTGCGATTATTGAGTTTCGCGATACTGAAAACGTTAATATTATTAATGCGATTTATAAAAAAAAAAAAGGGGAGGAATGTACAAAGTTGACAAGATTTCGTTTTTCTTAGGAATGATGACGATATGAAGAACCGAATCGTCTGTTTTTATCGTCTAAACTCTGCTCATCTATTCCGTCATCCTCCCTTCGAACGTGCTTGCCTTTCTTTTATCTTTTTCTTTTCTCTCGTTTTTTTTTTTTTAATCGCGAAATTTGATCTCTTCCTCCTCCTCCTAAACTCTCGTTTATGTCTTAACGTAATATATTTTACATTATACACTCGACGTGTTTCGATTCGAAATCAAAGTGACGTGTAAATCTATTTTGACATGTTTGTTAATTGCTCTAACGACGACAGGTTTTATAGCGTGGGTAAGTGTCAGATTTGTAATAATTTCAATTCGAAAACATGAAAGAAATATCGTTTATAAATATTATTATTATTATTTGTTATTATTATTATTATTATTATTATTATTATTATTATCATTGTTATTGTTATTGTTGTTATTATTGTTATTGTTATTGTTATTGTTATTGTTATTGTTATTGTTATGTGTATATTATTATTAATGTTATTGTTAATGTTATTGTTATTATATATTATTATTATTATTATTATTATTATTATTATTATTATTATTATTATTATTATTATTATTATTATTATTATTGTATGCAAAATATTCTAATGAACTAATGAACACGTAGTTTAATTTAACGTATTTTTAAGAAATTTTTGTTAGGATTTATATATGCTTCTCGTCTTTTCTTTTTCTTTCCTTCTTTTTTTTTCTTATTTCGACAAAAATAAAAATACAACGTAATAAAAATACGTAGATTCGGTAAAGTTTGGACAATTTTATCGAATGTTTTGTACATTGCATAACGTATATATTATGTACGTCGTCGATACTCGTCTAAAAACTCCGACGTATCTCACTCACATTGCTTTTCAGCGTCCTAATTGCGAGATATTGAGCCGATTACTCGACACATATGTATATCGGCCATCAAATATTATAATCCCTAGATATACTCTGCAAATTGGCAAGGCCGTCGAGAGATCCTACCGACTAGCCGCGAGGGGAATTTCGTAATCGTGCTTTGCTCGCTGTCTCTATATAATACGAAGGGAACGTCGCTGTTTTCGCTCGTAAATTTTCGAAGATATCGAATGCCCGACGCTATTTATATGGCTAATAAACGAGATTGAATTTGTCTCGACGAGTGGCTCGACTCGAATCGATGGATTTTTTTTTCCTTTTCGTTCCTTTTTTTTCTTTCTCTCTTTCTTCCTTTCTTTCTTCTTCTTTTTCTCTCTTTCCAATCTAAAACTTCGTCGAATGAAGAATATCTATCGAGAGAAGAAAAGGAAAAAAAAAGAAAAAAAAAGGAAAAAAAAAAAGACGTTTACCTGGATAAAAATACGAGCATTATTATTTCCTTTTCTTTTTTTTCCTTTTTTTTTTTTGTCTTTTTTCTTTTTCTTTTTTTCCGTACTAATTATGTGAATTCTTGTTTTACGTTTAAAGGAGTAAATCGTGAGTCGGCACCTCTCATACTTCTGAGAATTTTTAAACGTTATTTGGAAATCGATCGGTATCGATCGTATAAATAATTACATGCATTTTAAACAGGATCATCCTACGTTCTTGTACGCTTTTATGGTAATCTTATTTGTGAAATATTAACGATCCACGACACCTAGGGTGTAATTTTGTCTGACGTGGCGATAACATGTTTTGCCAAAATGGTTCGTAAACTTTATAATCTCGATAGATCATTGATAATATCGTCGGTGATTCGAATAATCAGATATTGCTTGAAGATACGTGAATTTATATAATATGAGCATGTTCTTTTTTATTTCATTCTTATTTCTTTTCTTTCTTTTTTTCCACTCTCTCTCTTTTCTTTTTCTCAATATCTAAGATATCTTTAATCGTAATTGATCTCTTAGGAAAAAATTTAATTGGTCGCTCGTGTTTTCGTTTATCTTAAATCCAATAATCTGTTTGACCACGTACAAGGTCAAAAGATAATATAGGTTCTAAATTAAATATCGTAAATATCTCTTCTAGGATTTCACGATAAGACGATGTAAAAACAGTAGCTTAAGAGACAGATAATCTTGTCAATAACAAGACTTCCGAATTCTGATATTATCGGTGTATGATGTCATCGAGAAATTCGTTCGTTTCATCAAACGAAGGAAAGAGAAAGGGGGGGAGGGAGAGCGAGAGCGAAAGTGAGAGAGAGAGAAAGAGAAAGAGAGAGAGAGAGAGAGAGAGAGAGAGAGAGAGAGAGAGAGAGAGAAAGAAAAAGAAAGAAAAAAGAAAAGTGTCGAAGCTAAATCGTACGGCGTCATTATATTTCCCTTACAATGATTCGAGCACGTCATCTATAGAAAGTTCTTATCAAAATATGTTATTATCGGACATAAATAGTTGCGTGAGAAAGAAATAGGTCAGGATAATGCGATAATACATTACAACTTTCTTCGCTCATACTTTCTTCTCCAGGAGAAGAACCAGGAAGAAAACGAAAATTTACATAATACGTACTTATTTACGTATATACGTTAACTCACATATATATCTTCTAATTATTAAAATTTTCTATAATAATATTTTTTCTAAATATAATTATATAGATAGACACATTAAATGTGTCTATCTTATGAATTGATAAAAATTGTGTACGATAAGAAAGAAAAAAAAATCCAAAAAGAAAAAGCAATTGCTTCTATTGTTCCTTTGTTTTATTGAATAAAACATTAAGAAGATTTGAATGAGAAATAAAACGAAAAAGAGAAATGGAAACAAAAGTAAATCGAAAAATTCGATAACGAAACGATAACGAGAGATCGTCGAATTAGATATAGATTGTCGTAGACAATAACGAAGAGGGACAACAATTAGTTGATTCAATCGAAAATTTGCAAGAGAACGAATTGAATGTTCGTCACTTGTAGTGAACGGAGTCGACGCGATGACATGCCGTTATCAGCGCATCGTAAATAAAAGAATCTCTCTTCGCAAATAACAGTGGGACACTCGTAATCGCTCGACTGCAAGAAGAGGAGACAGACGCACAATGACAGACGGGCACGCACATACAAGTACATATACACGTACGATATGCAGCGTGCACTTTTTCGCCCTTTATCCCGCCTCTCTTTTTCTTTATCGCGTGTATTCGCGCGTCTTTGTGTATGTACGCGCTGCATTCCATTTGATTCGTCTCTCCAACTATTTAGAGAGAGAGAGAGGGGAGGGGGGAAGGGGGATAGAGAAAGAGAGAAAAAGTGAAAGAAAGGGAGGGAGAGGGAGAGGGAAAGAAAAATACTAGTGCGGAGAAAGGCTGCACAATTGTTTCATTTTTTTTTTCTTTTTTTTCTTTTCTTTTTTACTTGACTTTGTAAAATTATTTTCTATTAATCTCTATCTATAAAGTAGATACGTGTAATATATCATTTATATGCTCTTTTCAACTATGCAGAGAGGGAGAAAGAGGGGGAAAGAAATACTAACGCGGAGAAAGCCTGCACGATTCGTTTTTTTACTTCATTTTATAAAATTATATTATATCAATCCGTATCTATACGTAGATACATGTAACCTATCATTTACAAGCTTTCTAACTATGTAGAAAGAATGAGAGAGATAGAGAGAGAGAGAGAGAGAGAGAGAGAGAGAGAGAGAGAGAGGGAGAGAGAGAGAGTTAAGGAGGGAGAGAAAGAGAGGGAAAAAAGAGGGAGAGAAAGGAAGAGAAAGAGAGAGAGAAATACTAATGCTACATGGATCTTTTTTCTTCTTAACAGTTTTTTATATTATTATTTTCCAACAATCTGCATCTATTCGTAGATACATATATGTAATATATCATTTATAAGAGAGAGGAGATTAAAGAGTGGAGTTATCAAAATTTTGATAATAAAGCAAAAGTAAGGGAACATAAATTGTAATAATTTATATTCCACTAGTTATATTTTCTTCTTCTTCTTATTCTTATTTTTCCTTATTCTTCTTTGAAATTATCGTTTTTTTTCTCTTATCTTTCTTATTCCCTTATCTTTTTCTTCTTCCGTTTGTTATTTTTTCTTTTCTTCTTTCTTTCTTTCTTTCTTTCTTTTTTTTCTTCTTCACATTGTCGCAGGTGTGACGTTAGAGAGCCTCGAGATGTTACTCTCCGGTGCTTGGTTCGAGGCTATAGCCGCCACACTTCTCGCAATTTTAGTCTTGGCTACCAGCTATCGACCACCATGGTGGTTCTGGACCGGAAGTCATCAGACCAATGGTAAGCGTTCTCTAAGCGTATTTATTTTATCGTTTATATAATTTATAATTAATAATTGTTATCATTTATTTAATCGTTATATCGATACGTACATATAGATTTCTTCTTTTTAATTATTACTATTATAATTTACATATAATTACTTTACATAGATTATAGAAATATTATTATATATTTTTGGATAATTTTCATTTTATCAAAATTTTAACAATTTTATTTTATTAATCGTTTGTTCTCTTTTCTTTTTTTCTTTCTTTTTATTTTTTTTTTCTTTTGTAATTCTCATTATCACCATTTACTCACTTATTTTATTCATTATTTTTTTAATTCTAACCGTTATATAATTTACTTGCTTTAAATAGATTTTCTCTCAAGGAACTCGCCTATGCTATAATTGTAATACCTGATTTATTAAGGATCTGATAATATCTTGTTCCTTTCGATCGATAAATTTTATCATGAAAAGGAAAAAGAAAAGAAAAGGACAAGTGAAAAAAAAATAAAAAGAAATAAATAAATAAAAAGATAATGTCATGACATAGTAAGAATTTGAAAGTTTCAATGCGTAGTACGCGTTGTCCGTGATATACATATTATCGAAGTGACGTAAACGAGAGAGTAGACGAGATTGTACATACGTACATATATATATATATATATATTATATATATATTATATATATATATATATATATATATATATATATATATATACATACATACATACAAATAACATATATACAAACATGTATACATACATAGATAGATAGATAGATACATATACGATAGATACATACATCGAAAGGTCAATGAAACGATTAGACGATCGTATCAAGGTCGCGCGATAACTAGATTTCTATCTGTCGCCTTATCGGTAATATATTCGACTAACGTTACGCTTGCGTTCTGAGTGATTTAAGTTCGTATTATTTCCTCGTTTACTCGATTTGTCGGTACGCGCGTATCTCTTTCTCTCTTACTCTCTTTCTATCTTTTTCTTTCTTTCACCATTGCTTCATATTCCACTACGTCTACGTCGTCGTATCTGACGCCCATTTTTCTTCTCGACTATCGTTTACTATTTATATACTTAGAGATAAAATTGAATGATAACACACGTACGATAACATATAATCTTCGATTTAACACATACGTATTTATCTTGACGATGGCGAAGTTGAATTATACAATGAGTCGATAAACAAAACGAAAGAGATTTGTATTTTTATTTCTTTTTCTTTTTTATAATGAAAACGAAAATTAATAAAATAGATTGGATTGTTAAATTTCTATAACTTTCTATGACTATTAAATTAATTGTTAACCAGTAATATATATTAGTATAATTAGAAGATTGTGTGTGTGTGTGTGTGTATATATATATATATATATTTAAATTTGTTTAATGATGGAAAAATGTTTAAAAATTAAAATAGATTTCTAGCTTTCTAAAACTTTCATAAAACTTTCATAAATAAATTTCAAGTTACGCGATTATGTTTTTTTTTTTAACAAAATAAATTGTTAATTGTTAGTATATAGTGAAATTAAAAGATCGTGTGTGTGTGTGTGTGTGTGTATGTGTGTATATTTTTAAAAACCAGAATAGATTCTTAACTTTCTAAAACAATTTATAACTTTGAAGTCACTCGATCATGCATTTTCTTTTTTCTGGACAATTAAATTAATTATTAATCGTTAATATATATTATAATTAAAAAATTGTGTATATATATATATATATTTATTTATTTTTTATGATGACAATATTTTAAAAAACCAGACTGGATTTTTAACTTTCTAAAACTATCTATAACTTTGAAATCACATGATCGTATATTTTCATCTTTTTGACAGCAAAACTAATTTTTTATCGTTAGTATATACATATACATATATATATATATATATATATATATATATAATTTTTCTCGTCGTTTATATGGGGTTATTATGGAGTTTTTCTAAAGGATAAAAAACTTATCGCTAATTTATAAGAATGTTTATTCTTCGTTATCGTTTTAATGTGGAAATGCGTTTTCACGACAATAGCTTTTGTTTCTCAGCCATATCGGAGGAGAAGGATAGGAGGCCATTTAAAACAGCTCGGGACGTGCCCGGTCCATTCTCCTTACCTATTCTTGGTACAAGATGGATATTCTCCTGGATCGGGTACTATCGAATGAACAAGATTCACGAGGCTTACAAAGGTAAGGACTTTGGCCTCTGTCTTACGAATTTATTCGCCAACTGGCTTTTCTCAACGATGGGAATAAGTTTAAACCGGGAAAGGAAAAGCATGAGATATTTGAATAAGATTTCTTCGAAGTTTCTTTTGAAAGAAAAAAGTTTTTTCTTTTAAAAGATATTTCATTTGCGAGTTTTTCAATCAATTTTTCTGTCTCTCTCTCTTTTTTTTTTCTTTTTTTTTTTAACAAATCCTTAATCAAATCATGACATATGCATAGATATATTTACTTTTTAGTTATATATTTTAGAAAATTTAATATGCGATTTGGTCAAATCAGATTAGTTCATAATATTTAACCCTTTGCACATATATATATATATATATATATATATATATGTATGTATGTATGTATGTATATGATGTGAAATTATTCTTTTTTTAGTACATTAGAAAGAAGCACTTTCTTATAGCTTAAAACAATATAAATAATTAAAAAGTTTATTCTTATTCTTAAAGTTTATTCTTATAACTTCTAGAATAAAATAGCATGTTTGTCAATCAATTTCACAAATATTGCGAATTTTAACGAGCTATATAATTTTTATAAAGCTATTGTTTATTAATAAAAACGTTTGTATCTAATTGTCGTATAAAGACCAATACCGAAGACAAAAGAAAAAATTATTTTGACGCGCTTAGGTATGTTAAAACAAAACGAAAAGAAACAAAGAAAGAAAAACAAATCAGATATCAATTAGCAGAGAATAAATTAGAAAAATAATTTTTTACGTGTGCAAAAGGTTAAATTCCAACATCAACAAAGGGAATGTCAATAAATAAAAAAATAAAAAAAGAAAGGAAAAATGACGAAACATTTCTGAGAAAATGATCGAACCTTTCCCCGTTGAGACACGTGAGATCATCGCGTGAATGAACGAGATTGCTCTCGATATCGACCAGCCTATAATCCCTGATTCAAGAGTAGATCTGAATCGACGCTACGGAGGCTTGTGCAAGGAGGAGGCACTGTGGAACTGGCCGGTGATATCGGTATTTTCTCGACGTGATATCGAGCAGATCCTTAGGCGAGGTTCAAGGTATCCTCTTCGTCCACCGCAAGAAGTCATATCGCACTATCGACACTCGCGTCGTGATCGTTACACTAATCTCGGTCTTGTGAATGAGTGAGTATATTACACTAAACATACGTGTTAATTCTTTTAAATGCACATGATTTTTGGTATAAATAAATTTCTAAAAGAAGAAAGAAGAAAAAGAAAATATATATAGTATATTAAAGTAAATATTACATATTTATTATTATAATATTTATTATTAATCATAGATATTAGAAAGGAAATAATAGAAAGATTAAGTCTACACTAAACATACGTCTTAATTCTTTTAAATGCACATAATTTTTGGTATAAATAAATTTCTAAAAGGAGAAAGAAGAAAAAAAATATATATTATATTAAAATAAATATTACATATTTATTATTATAATATTTATTATTAATCGTAGATATTAAAAAGGAAATAATAGAAAGATTAAGTCTTCGTAAAATTAAAAAAAAAAAAGAAGAAATATTAGTAAACTGTCGTATGTATATGTCTACGCGTTGAATTGATTTGATATACTGTAATTTGTCAACAACAACAACAATAACAACAACAACAACAACAACAACAACAACAACAAAACATGCATTTAAGACTTAATTAGTAACACATTGATCGCCAAAAAATGTTTCAAAATTTATTACAATTATTTATAAGATCTATTTTCATGACATTTATCAAATTTTTTTAGAAATAATATTAAGGATAATATAAATATCGAATAGAAGAGATTAGTTTGGCAATCGATCTGTTGTTTATCATTTAGGTCAAATACAGTATTTCAAATAATTGTTATTCTCTTTTTTTTTGTTTTGTTTTCATAACTTTTCTATGACACAACACATAACACACAACACACATATACACGAACACGCAAACGCACACACAGACAGGGCGAGACTTGGCAGAAGCTTCGTTCTGCTCTCACTCCGGAACTCACGGGAGCCAGCACGGTTCTCGGCTTTTTTCCTGCTCTAAATATCGTCTGTGACGGTTTCATCGAGCTAATACGAAAACGGAGAACCATGTTTGGCATCGCGGGATTCGAAGAACTTGCCTATAAAATGGGACTCGAGAGTGAGTTGTTTCTTTCTTTTTTTTTTTTTTTTTTTAATATCTTAATAAAAATTCAACAAGTTTTCTTCACACATTTTGATTAATTTCTAAATATATTCCTTATTTATGATTAAAACAGATAAATAGAATACGAGTATTTTATAATTAAAATTCCTGCGTGAAATTAGTTTGCACAGCTATTAGGTTGATTATAAAGTACCGTTATAAGTGAAGAATTCATTTATTGAATTAATTCGACGAATACGATATGGTTTTTTTTTTTTTTTTTTTATAATAAAAATACTTAATTTTATTGTTTTGCATAATTATCAAATTAACACATAAATAATTGAAATTTTATTCTAATAAATTCTTACTTACATATAATAACAGACTTATTTATGAATCAAAACTAATATAAATGCCGTGTTTATCGAGACGAAATATGTTTCGCAATTAATATATCGAATCCTACTTTCGTTTCGGTCTGATAATAAGAAAATATTCATTTCTTTTTTTATTTTTTTTCTTTCCTCGTTAAATGTTGGGCAACTAAAAAGATAAAAAAAAAGAAAATAATAAGAATAATAAAAATAAAAAAGCAAAAAACTTGTTGATCACACTTCCACGTTTTTCTACATGATTATAATTATGCAAATTCTTATCGATTATTTCGCTTATTAAGCCCTCGTTTAAAATGAGAACACGGTTCTTAATACATGTAGCAATTTTTCTAATGAACTCGAGAGAAAGATGAAAAAAGGAAAGAAGAGAAAAAAGGAAAAAAAACAGTAATATCTTATCACATTTTACGAAGGTACCTGTACCTTGATTCTGGGTCGGCATCTTGGTTTCTTAAAGCCGGACTCGAGCGACACGCTTACTGCAAGATTAGCGGAAGCAGTTAGGATTCACTTCACGGCCTCGCGAGATGCCTTTTATGGATTGCCGCTTTGGAAGGTGCTACCGACATCTGCTTACAAACAACTGATAGAGAGCGAGGACGCTATTTACAAGTAATTATTAATATGGATGTTTCATCTGCGAATATTTATTTTTTGTCTTTTAATCATAAAGATTTTTATCTTTATTATTATTATTGTTATTATTATTGTTATTATTATTGTTATTATTGTTGTTGTTATTATTATTATTATTATTATTGTTATTATTATTGTTATTATTGTTGTTGTTATTATTATTATTATTATTATTATTATTATTATTATTATTATTATTATTATTATTATTATTATTATTATTATTATTATTATTATTATTATTATTATTATTATTATTATTATTATTATTATTATTATTATTATTATTATTATTATTATTATTATTATTATTATTATTATTATTATTATTATTATTATTATTATTATTATTATTATTATTATTATTATTATTATTATTATTATTATTATTATTATTATTATTATTATTATTATTATTATTATTATTATTATTATTATTATTATTATTATTATTATTATTATTATTATTATTATTATTATTATTATTATTATTATTATTATTATTATTATTATTATTATTATTATTATTATTATTATTATTATTATTATTATTATTATTATTATTATTATTATTATTATTATTATTATTATTATTATTATTATTATTATTATTATTATTATTATTATTATTATTACTATTATTATTATTACTATTATTATTATTACTCGTTACTATATTTTACGAGAAAAAGAAAGAATTTTTTTGGTTGAAATTTTTTTTTCCAGCATAATTTCAGAATTAATGGAGACGACGATGTACGAGAAAAGGAACGACGCTCGAGACGAATCCGTGGAGGCTGTTTATCAATCGATTTTACGACAAAAATCATTAGACATAAGGGATAAAAAGGCAGCCATAGTGGACTTTATTGCGGCCGGTATACACACAGTGAGGCCGTCATAATATTCTAGTTTATGATCTCTCTCGTATGTACATACTTATGGAATTTCGATTATAGAAGAATCTATATGTTAATCGAGACGATTCCGATGAATAAATGGACGATCATTCGAATTCTTTTATTATTCCGTACGATCGTTCGAAATGTAGAAACACTCTGACTTTTATAGTAATATAATATAATCGAACTTTCATAAGATTACGTCGAAGAGATCGCATAAGTGAGTGGAAGGATAGTATAAATAACTCGTTTTAGAAGTTCATTAGATAGTCCGTTTTATCTCTCTCTCTTTCTCTCTCTCTCTCTCTCTTTCTCTCTCTCTCTCTCTTTCTCTCTTTCTCTCTCTCTCTCTCTCTCTCTCTATATATATATATATATATATATATATATATATATATATATATTCTTTTTATCTTTTTTATTTCTCTTCTTCTTCTTTTATTTTACAATTCGTTTACCATAATAGATTTCTTATATATTATAGGACGATATCGTTAAAAATTTTATGTGATAACACTGACAGCGATTATTATTTATTATTATGTTTAAAATTTTCATTGATTTTCACAGTTGGGTAATACTTTAGTTTTCCTTTTCCACATGATCGGAAGTAATCCAGAAGTACAAGAAACTTTATACGAAGAAACCTGTACATTGGCACCGCGAGGTTGCGATCTGACAGTCGAGGATCTTCGAAAAGCACGTTATTTACGTGCTTGCATCAATGAAGCGTTTAGGTAAACAAGTTTTAACATTTTCATTGATAATATTAATCGAAGAATATGACCGTGTTTATTTGTTCGTCATATGAATTTAGGTTGGTACCAACGGCACCGTGTATCGCAAGAATTTTAGATGAACCAATAGAATTGGATGGCTATCATCTCAACGCTGGGGTAAGTTATTTATTTTCCACGATTCTCTAATTGATAAAGTCAACGATAGTTTGATTACAGAGATTTCAAATACGGTTAGTAACTTAACTAATCGGAACTGTACTTAAAGTCTTCACATTTTGCTATCTTCTTCACCCCAGACGGTAGTTCTCTTGCATACATGGATAGCTGGATTAGACGAGAATAACTTTAAGAATGCGTCCAAATGCGTGCCTGAAAGATGGCTGAAGCCTATGGTACCACATTCGCCATTACTGGTAGCGCCTTTCGGTGCTGGTCGAAGAATCTGCCCGGGCAAACGCTTTGTGGAACTTGCTCTACAACTTATCCTAGCGAAGGTTCGTAATTATATAGTGATATGAGATAGATTATTTTAACCGCCTCTACGAGAGCTGATTTAATTTGATATGCTTCATTTTTTTGTATTATATTTCGTAACCCGACGATCCCTTTTTTGTTATCTTTCTTTTTTTTTTTCTTTCGTAATCTTCTCGAGATAATTTTGTTTCAATTTTAAATAAATTTTGTTTAATTTGTATGGGTCAAAAAAAGAAAAAATAAAGAAAAAATGAAGAAGAAGAAGAAGAAGAAGAAGAAGAAGAAAAAAGAACAGAAAAGAAATTGATTCAAACGAGACAAAAAGTGATTTCGAAACGTTCAAATATTAGATCTCTTCGTTTTTTTTTCTACACATCAATCCTTTTTTTCTCCATAATCAACAAATTTATATCATTGAATTTCGTTTCTTTGATAAGCTAGAACATTATGTAAAGGAAAATGTGTCGACCTAATTATTAAAAATAAAAAAGAAAAAAAATATACATATATATATACATATATCGACAACCATTAAATCTCAACGATAAAAAAAATGATCGTGAAAAAAAATTTTGTGTTGATCAGAATATTTTTAATTTTAAATCAAACAAATTCCTTCGTTTGACATTTTTTTCGAGATTGTCGAGAAACAACGAAGATATTTCAAATTTTTGAGTTAGGTGAAACACCCTGTGTTTCACCTATATATATATATAGGTGAATATATATATATATATAGGTATATTTAAATATCATAAGAGGAAGTTAGTAATTTTTCTTTTTTTTTTTTTTTTCAAACTTTCGCAGATCGTTCGAGAATTCGAAATCATAGTAGTTGATAAACTCGATCTACAATTCGAGTTTATTCTCGCCCCGAAAAGTCCGGTCTCACTCGGTTTTCGAGATCGTCTGGAGGTGGTATGAAAAGTGATCGAACAATTAGAAGACCAAACGCCTTGCCAAATCGCGTTTTAATCGTATAAATTTACGCGTACACGTTTAGATATATATATATATATATATATATATATATATATATATATGTATACATATATATGTATGTACGTATATGTATATACATATATGTTATACGTATGTATTGTATATTCAGCGCGAACATCACGTTTAAGCATTCGACGTTAATCATTTTCATCGATTGATCTATCGAGAATCCTTTTTTCCATTTTTTTTTTTATCTTTTTGCTAGCACGCAATATTTTTAACCTATTGCACTCGATGAACATTATCAGTCAGTCACAATTCTAAATATCAACGTTTTCTTAGTGTTTCTCCTCTTTTTTTTGTTTTTTTCAACTGAATGAAATACGAATTAACAATAATAACAAAAGACAAAGCGAGAATACCATCTAGAGTGCAAAAGGTTAATTTCTAAGAGCATTTTACTCGAACATTAAATTATCTATTATACGGCTAATTAGGATCGTCTTATTTTTTTCAAACATTGACGTACATATGTATGGTATGTATATGAATGCAATGATATCATAATAATTAAAATTATTTAGAATCGTCGTTCATCATTCGTGTTATTAAATCGAAATCGTTCGTTTTCTATTTTTTTTTTTTTTTTTTTCTTACATTTCCATTTGTTTTCTTCTCCTACTTCTGCTTCTTCTTCTTCTCCATCTTATTTTCTTTTGTTTCTTTTTGTTTTCTTTTTTCTTTTTTTTTTTTATCAAAGTAAGACGATCCTAATAACTAACATAAGTCTAATGTATATGTACGTCGTCACGAGTTAATGCGAGATTTTGATTTGCGATAAATGTAAGAAGATTATGCGTCGTAAGCGAAGTGTAATTAACAGAGAGGGAGATAATGAAAAAGGAAAATATAATGAAAAAAAGAAAAAAAAAGAGAAAAGTAAAAAAGTAAAAAAAAATCGTGAAGGAAGTTGCCCATCGTTATCGTTAAGGGCCGAGGAAATCATTCTCAAGGACTTTCATTGCATCAAAGTGATCTCATTACCACGAGGAGATCTCGTCTCTAAGGTATTTCATTTTTTGTCACTACACGATTTTCAATTTTACTTATACGGTATACCCTCAGCGCGAGAATTTATCTGTATGTGTGTGTATGTATATATATATATATAATATATATATTAAAGTATGTATAGATATAATGTTACTCGTTTATCGTAAGAATAAACATGTTGAGAGTGTCAAGTGCAATATATATACATATATATAAATATATATGTGTATATATTATATATATATATATATATATATATATAGAAGTAACCTATGATGTGTCCATCTTATGTATCATATTTTATAAGCTTGTTTATGTGCAAACGTTGCAACTACATATGTGTTCTTCTCTCATAATCCAAATAACAAACAAACAAACAAACAAAAAAAAAAAAGAAAAAAAAAAGGGAAACAAAATATAAATATTTATTTTAGCCGTTCAACATCGTCATTTCTACGATAAACAATGTGTAAGCATTTATTTCAGATACTGAAGGATGTAGTATACCATAATATTGTTATCGGCGATCTCTTTCTCTCTCTCTCTCTCTTTTTCTCGATAATGTATCCGTCATGTTACAATCTAATAACGAGCATCTTTTACAAATCGTTTATTTATGTTAACAATACAAATGATATTGTATCGCACAGTACGTTAGTCGAAACATATGTTACAGTTTATTATAAATTCTAGATTATATATCTGGGTGACTGAAAGGAAAGCTCCTAATCTTATGCGAATATAAGCGCCCACGGAGCTTTCGATAGAAATACTCGAAATGTTCCTTAACAGTTTCCTTGGTAATAATGATTTTACAACGAGTTAAACTGTAAATATATTTGATTATTTTCTCGTATACAAAAACATTTCGATGATCCTCCTTCGTCGTTATAATAATAACATTAGTTCGCTAAGATAAGAAATCGTATCTCTCTCTCTCTCTCTCTCTCTCTCTCTATTTCTTTTAATATTTTTTTTTATCGTACGACGATAACTCGAATCATTACGTATCGTGATATATAATAATGTTCACGAATTTCTGGTCCTTTAGAAAAAACTTAACGTAAAGATTAATTCTTATTAAAAAATAACATTCATTTGATCAAGCTTTTGATACTTTTCGGAAGATTCGGTATAGAACCTTTACTCGCACTGGAAGCCGTAGGTCTCATAAAACTATGATTCTTCGTGCCGGCACGAGGTTGTAATAATCGGCTCTTGGTGGGTGCAACCTTTTCACCACCAGGTTGACAGGATATCGTTGATTGTTGTCCGATGCTACTTCCACTGCTACTGCTACGAGAAGCGATCGTTCGAGGTTTGTTCACCTGCTTTGAGATCGTATCAATTATCGCCTATAAATCATAATTATCTCATATATAATACTTACATAAGATAACTAATTAGATTTTTTTTACTTACATTATTCGTCTTTCTAACATTCCTTGCTACAGGACCAACGCTGCTACCACTGCTACTGCTCCTACTGGCAGGAATCCTAGTTACGGCTATTCGTGGATTGGTACGTCTCTTATCGTTCTCTTTTTTTACGGTTGGCGGTAGGGGTGTATTTGAAGGACTACTTTTCCTGAGGTCATTAGTCAACGCACGAATTGCAGACGTGTAGCTACGAAGATGAGCATGAGAGGGCGCCAAATTTCTTACAGTATTAACAGAGGTAGCACTGTTCAATGAACTTCTAGAGCTACGAAGACTGCTACGAGAACCAGAACGTTCGACCTCATTTCTAATATTCGACGCCATTACAGTAGGATTTCTTTTCAATGATTCGACTTTCCTATTATTTTCACGTTTCATATTAGCCGTACGTTTTGGTAGGAAACTTTTTTCGTTGTTCGTCCCTCTAACTGGGACGGTCTTTGCAAAAACATTTTTGGCTGGTTCCTTAATAATATGTCGTACATCCACTTCTTCTTCTTCTTCGTCGTTAGGTCGACATTGAGTTACGATCGTCCCGGTATAACGTAATTCAGCTGGGGAATATCGTGTAGAGTCGTGAGCGTCAGTTTCATAATTCCCTGATGACGTTTCCTGACTCAAAGATTCCGAAACTAGACTTTGGGTCTCTTCGAATCCTTCGTCATTCAGTTCCTGATCTCTACCCTTTACAGTCGTCCCCAAAGATAACGGTGATGCATTCGTGACATTTATGTCAGGAATAAACCTATTTCTAAACATGGAGCTTTGTTTAGGAGGATCTTCCATCGTTTGGATCACCTCATTGGATACAGTTTTACGATCGGTATCCACGTTTGAAGAGAGCTCGTTCATATCCGTTTGATCGATCGTGATTATGTGATCTTCTACGATCTTACGATCTGATACGGTTTGTTCACAATTTAGATTCCTTATAGGACTTTGATTAATCTGACTAGGTGGACTGCTAGTTACTCGAATAGCTTCCTTTACCTGACTTGGATCTATCATACTTCTGTGACGTTCACGACTACTTACGGCTCTTTCGGCTAAGATCGTCACTGGTTCCCTTGGTCTTGATTCTTGCATCACTGGACTCAAAACTGTATTGGTAACAGCTACCACAGGAGGTGGTTGGCTAACAGGAAGTCGAGAGTTTCTCTGAACGTTCGAACGTGATAAATGTTGAAGATCTTCCCCTGATCGAGCGATCTCAGCCAATGCAGCATCAATCTTCTCGGTCGTTGTTGTTTCTGAATGTTTCAATTTCTCCTGCCAGACTCGGAGCATAGCATCTTCTTCCTGTCCATCTTCAGTCAACGACAATGTACTTGGTCGTTCCGTTGATTTCTCTTCGAAGATCTGCTGACTTACTGGATCTTCTTTTTTCGTATCTTTTTCCGTAGGATCGGACATTTTTTTATATCTTCTTGTTCTTCTCGTGGCCGAGTATCTATCGAAATTTCCTTAAAGAAAAATAATATATTTGTGTTAAATAATTCATACTATCCACCATCAAATCGCATTAGAAAGTGATCGTTATTTTGCAAAAACTGAATTTATATTCAGTACAGTCATAGGATAAAGATAATGAATATTAAAAACAGTTCACAGAGACGATAAGTTATATCAAATTACGGTTAGTTAATGATGCAAAGAATAAATAAATCAGTGTCAAAAGAGAGATTATCGAAACGAGTTAACCTACCGGTACCAAGATCAGCATTAACACTAACAGGTTTCAACGAAACAGTCTTCGATTCTCGACTTTGAAGAGAACTACTACATCTTTCTCGTTTACATGGTTCTTTCTCGACCGGTTTAACCTCCTTCGGTGGACTGATAAGTCGTCTGGTTGCCGGTGGTGTCTCAATATTATCCGAATCAATTTCAATCTTGTCACTGATGTTGCCGTTCTCATCATCAGAATTTTTCTTAACGAGTTTCGAGAATCTTCTTGTTGGAGTTTGCGAGCCTGTATAAGGTTGTCGAAGATAAATGGTTAGTTCGTCCTGAGTGTTCGCATTCACCGTCTCGCTGATCTTGTTCTTCTTTCTGTCCTCTTCTCTGATCGCCTATATAATGCGTTATCATAAATAGTTTAGTTTCGAACTTATATATATACATATATAATCACAAAATATTATTACATAACACATAGAATATATTTCAAGGTAATCTTTATAAAGGATAAAATAAGGTAACAGTGTAACATATAATTTTTCTTACATACTTGTAATGGACTAGGAGCAAGGATATTTTCAGTACTGAGTCTGGATCTTAGCCTACGAGAGTAACGTGGGTCAGTCTCTTCCATGCTATTTGGTACGTTCAAACTCGACTTTCGCCAAGGTGATTTATCTTTCTGCGATGGGTTCGGTTGGGCTTCTGAAAAGAAGTGGAAATACTGGAATATCTCGTGGAACTTGTATTCCAATCGGAATGATTATAATGATAACAAAAAAAAAAAAATGATTTACCTTCGATGGCTTCCATCGTACGCATTACATCCGTTTTCTCAACGGATGGCCGCCAGTCATAAACTTCGGAATAACCTTCGTGCATAGAATCGTCTTCAACCAGGGTATTTCTGATGGAGTTCTTGCCTTCACTTTCTGTATATATTGCATATATATATAGATAAGATCGATCGATTACAATGTTTACCGAGATTGAATTGAATCAAATTTTATTTTTAACATTAACTTACCTGAGTCTTCGAAGGACCTACGGTTTGCTTGACGCAATTGTCTGGCCTTTCTTTGAAGTTCTTCTCCCGCACGATCTTCCTTCTCGTTTTCTGACAGCCAAGCCTCGATTTTTTGCCTCCATGCTTTCCTGTATTATATAAATATATCATTATTTTTATCTTTCATATCGCGCAATAATCCTTTGAAGGAAATTCGTTAGAGAGAGAGAAAGAGAAAAAAAATAAAAAGAAAAATTTATGAAGCAAAAAAACGATCATCCTACCCTGGCTTTGCTTCCTCTTCTTGCAAAAATGGCTTGCTCTCGGCTAAAGGTGATGGCGAACTTGGTCTTTCTCGATCAGCCGAAAAATCGGCGTTTAATAAATCGCCTCTTCGTGCTTGACCGCGAGCTCTTCGCGCCCACGATCGATCTATTTAAAAATTTCGATTGATAAAGCGTCTTGTTTCATTAATAAAATTGATAATAACGACAATATTCGAATACATACACTTTTATATTTACATGATATAATGTGTTAAAAAAAAAAAAATTCGTGTAAAAGAATATCTATGTATCTGTGAAAAACATAAGAATCTTTTTGAATCTAAAAAAAAATTATATCAATAGATCATATCAATAGCCACATTAAAATCTGATCGTTTATACGTTCTTGTACTTTTCATTTCATATAGATTGAACATGTTATATAAAAATTTATTATATAAGGTAAATTATCATTGGAAAAGAACATTATTTTACTAATTCGTAAACACAAAAAGTAAGCAAAATAATATGAGTTTAAACAAAATAAAGATTTTATTCGTTGTTATTTTCTAATAATAAACGCATAAGTTTGCGTAAGAGCGGTTTTAATTAGAATCCAAAACAATGTGAGGATGAATAATGCGAAAAAAAATTTCTTTTCCTTACAATTTCGATCGGAACGTCAGAATATTAAATAAAAACAGATCGTGTAAAAAGAAAAAGAAAATATTTCTTCTGATTCGTGTTAAATCGAAATCATGCGGAAGGAATTAGTGTAAAATTAGAATTATAGATTATCATTATAATAATTATGTGGATTAACGTTATTGATAAAATTCATAGAATGACACAAAAATTCAAATAACAAGTAAATTTACATGCAAATTACAGTCGATAAGATAAATAAAAAAAAAATTTTTTATAATGAAAGAAAATAAAATTGAAAATTTTTAAATTGAAAAAAAAAAAGAAAAAAATGAGAAGACATAGATACGTATGTACGATGATTAAATGAAATAATAATTTTACATTTACGTGTCATACCTAAGCTGCCCCATGATTTTCTTTCTCGTGTGTTCTCCTGACCCGAAGTTCGGAGAAAATCCATTAAATTACCATCATCGTCTTCGCACGGTATTCGACTCCTTCTTCGACGAAGGGTACCGTTAGGTGTTATGTCTGAAACATTAAAATTCCAACTTTAATGTAAAGAAAAGAAAAGAAAAGAAAGAGAAAGAAAAAAGAAAAAAGGATAGAAAAAAAAGAAAAGAAAAAAAGAAGGAAAAAAAAAAAGAAAAAAACACTAATCATTTTTATAAACAATAATTAATAAACCTGGCGAATAAGTATCTTCTTTGGTGGACTGTTGTTCAGGACCTCCAGAACACGAGCCTAATCTTCGTCGTATATTTGGTGAACCGGTAATAGAAACATCGTCGTCCGAGGTAACAACACCGTTTTGTAATCTTTTGATCTGAAATAAATGTCAAACAAAAAATAAAGTACAAAAGAACAAAGAAAAAAAAGTTCTATCTAATATTTTCATGTTCATTAATATTAATTTTGATAACAATAACAATCTACCTTTGCTTCGCTACGACTGTAACTTCTTTGAGGTAAGCCAGTATGGAGATCAAGAAGACCATAATCCATCAGATTACATTCAGATTCAGAGTTAGGTGTTTCTGTTTGATTACTCACTGAAAATGTTTTAAAATGAAAAAGTACAAGTATCTAATATTGCCGATTGTATAACGTTAAATAATATTTCAGAACTTACTGTTTTCAATATTTCAATATTATTTTATTTTTTTATATTTTTTTTTTTTAATAAATTTTCTGGTATTACTTATTAATATATGTTATTTATAGTATTACGATAGTAATAGTATAGTATCAGGAATTGGCCGATAACTATTGTCAAAATTTTCTACTAAATTTATAATATTTTTTTATTGATTTATTATGACACTACAGTGTATTATATCATAATAATAACAAAAAATAATTGAAAATTCCGATATTGATATAATATAGTATAAGAATAATATATAATATAATATAAATTATATTATAGAAATAATATACGATTGATAATATCAGAATTTTCTATTTAATTGTCTTTCTCAATATTTTCTATTAAAAGTAGTAGTATAAAAATTCTATACTTTGAAAATTTTTTTTTCACATTTTATATAACAGAATAATATTATACTATGATAATAGTATAATTCTTTTTTTTGTGTTAGCCGATAAGTAATATCAAACTTTTTAATAAAAAGTATTGACTACAGTGTTATTTATATGAACACTGAAAGTAATGTAAATTCCAACAATAGTTATCTCTTTTAATCAATCCAATTATAAATAATACAATCGAATTTTTGATAAATAACTTACGTAATCTTTTCCTAGCCATTAATTGTTCTTCACGTTGCTTTCGCCTCGCTAATACCTGTTCCTCTTGAATCCTTCGCCTTTCGTTTTCCGCGACAGCCTGATTAAATTTTTGACAAAACTGATGGAATACCCTAAAACATTCCTCTATTTTAAAGGCATTAATGTCCTCGCAGAAAAATTCTGCCAATGTTCGTCGAACGTTTTCCAACTCTTCTATGTCTCTTTTTAATTGTGCCATTTCTTGTTCAGCCATCTGCAAATTTGATGACTCGAGATTAACATATCTAATTATTTTTTGGATTAATGAATACCATAATATTTATATAATGTATATATATACATAACATATATATATATATATTAATGTAAATTTACCTGTAGAAATTGTGCCATCTGTTCTTGAATATCTATTTCGGTCGATGGTAATTGAATTTGATTCTTGATTTTCTTTATTTTGGTGTCTAATGTATTAAACTCGTTGTTTAATTGTTCGATCGTCGTTCTTAAAATTAAAAAAAGAAAAAAGAATATGAGTTAGTAATAAGACATTCTTATAATATATTTTTTTTATCGTTTAACAATATTTACTTTGTCGCTCCTTCCAAAGCACTCATGTCCTTAGCAAAATTCAGCAAATCCTTTCGTTTTCTCTCAGCTTGCTGATTTGAAAAAAAAAGAAAAAAAAAGGGAAAGAAAGAAAAGAAAGAAACAGTGAAAAAAGATAAGTAAACGAAATTATTAATGATCATTAATATTTTTTGTTTTTTATTATCTTACCAAAGCTACGTAATGTATTAAATTCATTCCCGGTTTGTTCGCACGAATTTCGGTTAATTTCTGTAAAGAAGACAATTTAACTCCAGCTGCATTTCCTGCATAGCCACCCTGTATATAAATAAACATCATCAATCTTCGTAAATAAAATTACGATATAAAATTACAATGATTAATAAGAAATTATTAAAATTTACCGAATTTAGAAAGTTTCCAGCGACTAAGACCATATAAAGAACTTCATGAAGCGGTTTGTTAGTCATAAGATCCTCACCAGCAAGAATCATTGAATTTATACTCGGTTCGAGATAACTCATATTAGCAGCAAATTCTTCCTTCAAAAGCATACACTCGATTCGTAGCTTGTAACTAATCAAAATAAAAATAACATATATTTGCATCTAATAATATATAAAAGAAATTAATTAATTTCCGTGAATAACACGTAGATATATAATCTTATAATGATTTTATTTCGAGATCTTACTTAGGTACTTGAATAAGTTGAAGAAAAAATTTTTCAGCGTTTCCAAGCTTCGATTTGTCACCATCGAAATTTTTCAACATTTCCAATTCATCAACCTCCGGTAGTATCTTTAACAGACCACGTAACTTTTCCGCGCCGATGTCATCATGTCCGCCATCTTTTATCAGTTGAATTATATCTTCGTTCGAACTTAAAGAAAAAGAAACAACGTATAGAGATATATGTAAGTACGATTGTGTTATTAATAAGATTTTATCCACTGAAATTATTATTTACCTTCGAAATTGTTTAAGAAATATATTGACGTTCAGACTTCTTTTTCCATCGAGCAGGGCAATCTAAAAAGAAAAAAAAAAAAAAAAGAAAAAAAATAAACAATAAATAAATAAACAAGATCGGAGATATTAATCGATTGGTCCTCTAGAAATTATTTTACCTCGGTTGGTTCTCGTCGACGTTTCTCAGCGTCCATGCCTGTTCCGTATGTCGAAGAACAAGTTACCGGTGGCATCATCGGTGGTACTTGTTGACAGAATAAACCTTCCATTTCAGCCCAATCTAAATCAGCATTTGGAAGATTTTGATGTTCGTTAGCAACTAACGACCATATATTTCGCTTGCCAATCACCTGTCGATCAATAAATAATTATACGTTATATTTGATCTAGCGAGAATTTCAAATATTCAAATTTATTTCTACGGTGAGAAATTTCAATATTCAAATATTGAATTAGTCAATAATCTGGAAAATAACATCGGAATTTTTAATATTTAATATTCAAACAAAGAACCTTAATATTTTTTATTGAAAATTCCAGTCTTATTATTGATGCAATTCAATATTATAATATTACTGTTATACTATTGTTATTTGTTATCATTGTTGTTGTTTTATAAAATATTAAAAATTCCTTTGAATTAATTATTTACCAATCGAAATATTTCCTAATGATAAGAATTTCAATATTAATAAAATATTTCTCAATGGTGATAAACACTGATATTCGAATACCTTCTTTCTTCTGGGTGAGAGAATTTTAGGAAAAAAGAAATAAATAAAAAAATAGAAATAAAAAAAAAAATTAAAAAAAATATAATCTACTTTTTAACGAGATATTCAGAGATATGAAAAAAAATATATTTACCTTATGATTAGGAATCTTGTTCCAATTGATGGTTTTCATTTTAGTCTTAGGAGTTGGTGTCTCCTGTTGAGGAAGTAATCTCGCATGATTGTTGGGTACTTCAGGAGTAGGAGCACGAGTAACCTGTGGCACGTGCAACGGCGGTGGCAAAGGTGGTTCCATTGGAGCATTCGAGTTAGTCGGAATAATAAAGAGTGGTGGGGGAGGAGGTGGTGGCAATACAAGACCACTGCTAGGGGGTGGATTAGGCGGAGTTGTTACTGACGTATTCGTTGCTGATGTCAATGTTGGTGCAGTCGTATTGCTCACCGGAAGTGAAGCTTTTCGAGACGTACCGCACGTCTGATCGTTTCCTCGGCAATGACAGCATAGATTATTCGTCTGTAGAATAGTATTAGTATGTTTAAAGATATTCTACATCTTGCATAATTAATAAAACGTCTCGTCAATCGCTACGTCAATTTAAATTTAATTTGTTCGATAATTATTCTGTCGTTCCGACTTTAATCAAATCGTTTTAATCGGTCGCTCGTGAGCCTGAATCATAAAATTGCAATTATGAACTTACGAAACGGTATTGACAATTCTCGATGGACATCGTCGCGAAATTTCTGGCCCATCTTTTCTGACGTAACAAAATCACGCGTTATTTTAGCGACGACAAAGTCCAATTGTGCAATCGGCGAAAGTTCGAAAAGAACAGATATGCGGCATGGATAGAAATCGAAAAATTGAAAGTAAAAGAAAAAAAAAAAAAAAAAAAAAAAGAAAAAAAGAAAAAGAAAAGAAAAAAACGAACGTCTCGTGAAACGCGTCCTAATAAAGATTTTAACAATTTATACTGACTTGAAGACTAGGCGATCTCAGTAATTTTGTAGCGTCCTCTCGACTTTCCAATAACGTTGCACGATGGACCAATGTCTCTGCTGTGTCCCACGCTAGATCACTCGCAGCATCTTTCGGATCCAGTCGCAACAGATGCTGGAGGATGCTTAAGAATGGTATTTCCTGTGGGGTGTCTGCGATCTGAAAAATGTTCTGTGTTTTATCAAAACTTTTCTTTGTACTTTATTATTAATAAATATTCTTTCTATTTATTTATATTTAATTAATCGTTTTAATTAACTAATAAAATATGATTTAATTTAATTATTAATAATATCAATCATTTTAATTGATATTTAATTGATTCATTCAGTTTATTATTCAAGAATTTTTTCACATTACAATTCGTTATATACCGCGATATTTTTAACATTGATTTTATTATATTTTTATTGAAATTTATCGGGTACATTAATATATTATTATTAATACATATACAAATATTTGTTATATATAAATTATTAAATATATAATAATAATAAATTAAATATTTTAATAATGTAATAAAATGCAATGTCTTTTCTTTTTTTCTTTTTTTTACTTTTCATATCTTCCCATATCGCTAAAAGAAAATATTCAATTCTTATTACTTTAAGGAAAAGGAAAAGAGAGAAAAAATTCGTTAAATTCGAAAGATACCATCCAAGTATATAAATTTACAAACGAAACGAAAATAATTGATAATAAATATCACTAACCTGTCCAAGAATAGCATAAAATACATCAACGTGGGAGGACAAATCGATTTCCGGTGGTCCGTTGTTCGATAGTACTTCGTCGCTCTCGCGTTGATCGTCGAAAACATCCAATTGCACTCTGAGATCCGGAGCGTGGCTTTTCCTATAAGAACAATCGTCATCTTCCTGATCCGTGAACATTTTAAGCCTTTACATTTCGTCGCTCGCGCTATTTCCGACTAAAGGGACGTGTGCTTTGGAACTCGTGTGGCTTTCTTTAGAAATTCGAAATTTCCTACGACGAAGAGAAGTCACTGTCACTTTTCTTTTTCCTTTTTTCCTTTTTTCTTTTATCTTTTTGTTCGTCCTCTCCCACGCTCGAGAAAAAAAAAAAGATTCGTAGATCCTTCCCTGCCTTCCCTTTTTGTCTTTCGAGAATGAAGGTAATAAAAGAATGAGAATAAAAAAAAAAAAAAAAAAGAAAGAAAGAAAAAAAGAAAGAAATATAAAAGAACAAAACGAAGGAAAGAAATCTCAATTGATTTTCTTTACTATACAATATTATTCGCCGTGTGTAAGGTGTCTAATGAGAGACGCGCGAGTCGAAACAATGGCGCTTCCGTTCGAAAAGCATTCGGCCCGTTATTCGTTTCTTCCTTTACGTAGTGGGAGTGTCGGTTACGTGTTTGTCATGACGTTTAAACTTTACCACGTCTCTTACCCCGTCACGATACACCATCTATCTAACATCGAGTAACTATATATACATATACTCTTTTAAATCTCTTTGAATACAAGGGGCCTTGAGAAAAAGTTTTTATCGAAACGAAACGAAACGAATAGAAAAGAATTGAATCGAATTGCGATGAGAGTTTTCGCGCGTAACGTGGGGAAAAGTGAAAACGCAGGAAAGTTCGTAATTCACGCTATGATGGTTCTTAACAATAACTATAATTTCACGATACGTCTTTTACGAGGTGAAAAGAAGAAGAAGAAGAAAAAAAAAAGAAGTAAAGTAAGATTAGAAATAGATTAGGAACTTGTTTTAAATTTTAAACTAGTCGTCTCGTTAAATGAAAGATAAACACAATAGAACGGAAATATTCGAACTTCGAAGAACGTCATTGGCGATAAATTTCAATCAATGTATCTATCCAATAAACTATAAATAGATATTAATCATTTAATTAATTATATTGATCATTTTAATCGTAATAATGTGCATTATAATTTAAATAATTATATAAAATTATTATCATTTAATTATTGTGATTGTAATCACTATCATTGAAAAAAAAGAAGAAAAAAAAAATTATTGTTATAATAATTAATACTTAAAACGGACAATTCTTATATCGCTAATTATTGTAATAATCATTTTAGTCGTTTTATGCTCACGTTGTTTCAACGGTTACGACAAAATGACATAATAAAGTAAATTCAAAAAACAGGGTTTGGTATGACGGGAAACTTGTTCGAATGTTTAAATAAATGTGACGTCAGATGAAAGCTAATCCGCAATGAGCTATGGAATATTTGAATGTGAGAGAGTCGAAGAGTTTATCGATCGGCGTTTTCGTATTGGACGTCAAATATTTAGCGCGAAATTTGAATCGAACTGGTATAAGAAAAATATATTGGATTGTATAGCAATAACAATCATTATATATCGTGTCGTCAGACACATTTGTTATCACATTAATAGAATTAAATTAATGTTTTTGAATACGACAAATAGCGAATTGTCAATTGTAAAGTATGATAATTAAAAACAAGAAAAATCAATGGATTTTCATTTCAAATAAGAAACTCGTTTAAATATTCAAACAAATTATTATACATATATCGTCAATTGGTTCAACTAATTCGTGAGAGCGAGAATATTTAAATATGGAGAACGATCGAATTCATCGATTGTTTTCTTCTTCCTCTTTTTTTTTCTTTTTTTCTTCTTTTTTTTTTAATCATTCAAACGTACCTCGGCGCCAAATTTCAATCGAGTCCAATCATGAAACATATTGTCGATCATAATAATCATTTTATTTACGAGCGTTTGACGTTTTGTCTAACGAACTGGTCCGCCATGTATATGAATTTTCGTTGGAAAGTTCCAAGAGCTACGAGAATATCTATGCCGTCGTGGAGTGCACGGAAATAGTTTTCCTCGTCGCGGATAGGCACGAAAGGCTCGGCGCGCGTTCGCGCTACCCTCGAGGGATGGAAATTTATTCGAAAAGGAAAGGCACGAAAAAGAAGGGGTCAAAAAGAAGAAGAAGAGGAGGAAGAAGAAGAAGAGGAAGAAAAGAAAAAAGAAGAAGAGGAAGAAAACAAAAAGAGGATGAGAAGAAGAAAGGTGGAGGGGGGATGGGAAAAAAAAGGAATTAACAGGGAAAAAGAAAAGAAAGAAAAAAATTAGAAAAGAATATCACGGGAAGACGCGACAGGACATATTGTCCAGAACGGTAGAAGAAATTTCCAGAACGTTCTAGACGGAGGAGAGTGTACGAAAATACCCATGCCAGTCCAAATCCGCCATCGATCTTACCAAGCGAATAAAACATAAAGAGAGAACAGTACGCCGAGTGCGACCATGAGTCACTGCACGGAATGCTAACACACTATACGGATCGGTAAAAGGATCCAGAAGCCCATTTTCATCGTGATGCTCTTGTCGTTCGAAAAATTCTTTCTTAGACAAACGATGCACTTCTTTTCTTTCATCCTTTTGCTTCTTTCTTTTTCTTTTTCTTGCTTTTTTCTCCTCCCTTTTCTTTCTTTTTTTTTTTTATTGTTGTTTCTTTTCGTCGCCCAATCACAATTCTTTTCTTCTTCTTTTTCTTCTTTTTCCCCTCCTCGCGCCCCTTCCTCCTCCTACCCTTTCCCATTCTGCTTCACAAGACCCAATTAATTTTCCATTCGTTGTTTGTCCCTTTAACTGTATATTATATATATTTAATTCTGTTCGAATTGAATTATTTCAAGATGACGATGCATCATAGCCACATACATTTTCGTAGGATACACTGACACTGTTTAAAAACAAATACACTGTAATAATCGATTAATAGATATTATCCCAATCGCGATGCACTCACGTCGCCATACGGTATACGTTAGTATCTAATAAAAAAAAAAAAAAAAAAAAAAAAAAAAGAAAAAAAAAAGAGAAAAAAGAAAAAAGGAAAAAAAAAGAAGTAAGAAAAAGAAGGAGAACAAACAACAACCAATATTTCTTCCTTCGAAAATTTCAATAATTTCATTATTATTATCCCACGTTATTTATTATCCTTCCTTATTTTTAAATCTTCACAATTAAAATGACACAATTCCCTTTTTTTTTTTTTGAACTCTTCGAATGTCGATTATTCTTCCTTACCGTTTATCGAAATTCGTTGATAGATCGTGTCGAAGGATCTACGGAAGAAGAAGAAGAAGAAACGAAGAAGACGAGGATACGAAGAGCACGAATTAAAAA